ATCTTCCTCCAGATCCATTTTCAGATATTCATGTACGGGGAGCCAATGAACTCATCAACCCTCCCAATCCAAGCACTCTTGGTTCCCAGTCTGGTGCAAAGTCCAAAATCTAAATCCGCTTTGCCTCCCATCTGCAAGGAGGACTTTGCATAAACGAGGCTAAAACAAGGCTTTTACTTCCATTACGACTCAGGTCAATCCCCACCCTGCTAGCATTTGGAAAACTCAGAGATGGCATCAGTTCCTGTTCCCCACGCAGCCACAGGAGGCCTTTGACCTGCAAGTAGGACATGTGCTCCTTGTGGAAAGAATTTAATGTGGACCTACATATAAGGCAATGACAACATACAGACTGATTTTCTGTGACAAGGAATAAAGACAGGACCGTGCCTGGGAAGATGCCCCCCGGTGTCCGTATTCACTGTCTGAGGAATTCCTGCCTCTGGCTCTGCCTCCGCTTATGCCTGTAGGCATGTGGAATTTTGTCCAGCAGGGACCCAGAGCTATTCAGCCAGCACCAAGGCTTTCCCACAGCAAAGAGAAGATAGTGGGTCCAGAACCCAGACTGGTGCCACTTTCACTACTGTAAAGTTGGCAGTGAATGTTAGAAAAGTACTCACCAAAGTTGAACACCAAACAAGATCAGCTCACCTGAGCTGCATGGTCTCCAGATTCCCAGCCCAGGGAACCAACAATTAGTGTTCAGAGAGGAAATATGTTCATACATGCTGTTCTGGTCACTGTGGGACCACATACCTCTTCCCAAAGAGCCCTAGACCCTGGGATGAGAGGTCCAGAAAATCTAAGATGACCAGCGTGGGAAGATGTTGGAACATCTACAACCAGATATGGACTTTGTGGCTGGCTGTTGAGCTCCAGACAGCATGCACCGCTTGTTTGACCCCGGGCCTATAGGCTTGACCACTGCCTTCATGCATTGTTTGGAATTTCCAGGTTTTTTTTTTTTTTCAGATTTAAGATTTATTCATACAGAACTAGGGTACAAACCAGAGGCACAGGGGCGGTGAGAGGCTTCACCAGAGACAGAGTGGGGAGCAGAACAGGCAGGTTGATGAGGTACACTGCTGAGGGAAGCAGCGGGCGGGTCAGGAGAGGTCTGGCTCGCCATGTGGTCTCCTCCGGGGCAGGCGGGAATCGAACTCATGCGGAAGTGGCTTCAGATTCTCAGTGCTGTGCTTTAACCCGCTGCGCCACCAGGGAGGGCCCAGTTTGGGTATTTTTAATAACACAGTCAATACTTGTTGATTGTAGAAAAATATGGAAAATACTTGTAAATAATAACACATATATATATATTACTCTGAATTTCTAAAGGAAGAACTAGATATGATAGCAGACAAACAATGATTTATTGAATTGAAAAATATCTAGTGGGAAAAACAACCCTCACAGTTGTCATTCACATTACTGTTTGGGAGACTAGAATAATGAATTTTTGCTTCTGAATAATTTTTTGACATTAAATTGCAGAGGAAAGAGTAATTATAAATTACTACCTCTCCATAGTCACTTTCATTATGTATCTCAGTCACATGCTTGCTAGGGCCTATTCCCCCTATTTTGGCTTGGGGGAACTGAGAAAAAAGTAAAATGTATCTGCAACTAGATACAATATGGGAAGTCCTGAAATTTACCCAAAGATCTTCCAACTAAACACTCCCAAACCACGAGGCAGAAGAGGGATTTCCCTGGGTGGTCAGGCCTTCCCCATCCTCCACAAAAGGCATTGGGGGTACCAGGCCTGGCACAGCATTCGAAAAAGGACAATACCCTCAGAGATCACCCTCTGGGGCATAACGCATTCGAAAAGATGGTGATTTAAAAAAGGACAAGATTCAAGTAGCAGTGCATGAAGATCATGGAAGGTTGTCATGGTTTGCTGCTTGATTAAATTAATAAAGGATCAAAGGAAGAACTATCTACTTTTGGCTCCACCTCAAGTCACATGTTTGCGTGTAACCCCTGCTCCCCATCAGGATCAATAAGTACTTGCCTGGTGATGTTCTCTCACCACAATCAGACCTGACTTGGGGGTGGCCTTTGGTCACCACCATCCAACCAAGCCCTCCCCAACCCTCTGAGATGGAAGTGGAGGGCTCCTGCCTGCACCTCAAAGACTTTCACTTTCACGCCAGCCCTTGCACTCTGCTCACAAGATTTAAGTTTCACCAAAAAGAGACTTTAAAAGACCCCTTCCTGAGCTATTTTGCAGTGTCTTTCTTGCTATTTCCCAAGAAAGTGTTCAAACTGGTGTCCTCCTTATGCTAAGGTCCCCTCTACTCCATTCCATAGTTACAACTTAGTAAGAGCCTCTTAAAAATTCACCTCAGGCCCTCCCTGGTGGCGTAGCGGGTTAAAGCACTGCACTGAGAAGCTTAAGCCACTTCCGCATGAGTTCGATCCCCGCCTGCCCCAGAGGTGACCACATGGCGAGGCAGACCTCTCCTGACCCACCTGCTGCTCCCCTCAGCAGTGTACTTCGTCAATCTGCCTGTTCTGCTCCCACTCTGTCTCTGGTGAATCCTCTCACCCTCCACATCTCTGGCCTGTACCCCAGTTCTGTATGAATAAATAAATAAATCTTTAAAAAAAATAGTATCTGGAACATTTAAAAAAAAAATTCACCTCAACAGTGAACCATGAGGTAATACACAGATTTTGGTCCCAAATGACCTTATCATCATGCCCTGATGGTGATTATCTACTCCAGTGAAAGATGTCATGCTTCCCCTCAGGGACACTGGCAGTGTCTAGAGACACATCTGGTTGTGACACTGGTCATGGTAAGAGAACTACCATTGTGTGGCGGGTAGAGACCAGTGGTGCTGCCAACAGCCTCTAAGGCTCAGGGCAGCTCCCATCACTAGGAATTATCCAGCACAAAATACCAATAGTTGAGAAACCTTATCTACTCCTCACTAGTCAAGGCTAGAGAACCACAGGTCCCTGACTTCCTTGATGTGACTCTCAGGCATACACATGCTCAAAAGAGGAGAGCTTTTTGCTGTGTTGTTAAGCCAGTTCCTACACTCTCGCCTAAGCACAGGATGCCTGTGGTTGAGTCAGTAATTCTCTACCCTTAAAAGACTCAATTTGTGACCTTAATTTTCATCAACATGAAATGTATTCTGGCTGTCATCCATTATCTCAGAGTGACAAATTTGTAAATGGCAGGGAGCCTGATAAGGGTTCATTTATATTTCATTAGGTAATTATATTCTCATTAAATAATACTGCACAATATCACCTGCTTGTAATCAATCATTTATTCAGTCAACAAATATTTATTGTATCCCACTAAGACTAAACACCAGGCTCTGTGCTAGATGATAACTCTCTGAACTTCCTAAATTTGTCTACAGTCTGTACAGCAGGAAGATGGAGGGCCAGATGCAATGGATAGCCGATTCTTGGGCTCCTTTCAGAGACCAGATTTCACAAGTTAGGATGCTACCAAGGAATCTACATTTGGAGCAAGCACTTGAGATAACTCTGATGCAGGGTATCCACGAGACTATGATTTAAAAAAAGATTTGAAGGGCTCATGAAATCCACTCAATATAACCCCAAATCTAAGAATATGCAGACCTGACCTCTCTAATGTGGTAATTTCCTGTATTTCTGGAGGGTCAAATGGCTAAATAATATTTAGCCATTAAGTGTCTCAAATTTCCCTTTTTTAAACAGGACCTGTTCAAACACAGAGGATGAGAGGGTAGAATGAACCATAAAAATATTAGCAGAACACTTTCAAAGGAACAGAACCATAAGAATGTCACTTCTGAACCTGTCTTCATGACATATAAGAGAATAAGCATTAGCCAAACATACTGGTATCAATCTCATAAAAATCTCTTGTTCGTAGGAAGTATGCACACTCCCTGTCCTCTGAAACTACCTCAACTTGCAAGGATTCTTGGCTTGATGAGGGATTATCAACTAATCCTCCCTGGTTACCAAGACAAATGGTTTCTCTGATTCTTCTCAATTTTTCTTCACGTACTTTCTCAGACCTATATAATTACCACTCCATTATGTAACTTTGCAATGAACCACTTATTTTAGTAGCACATTAGACACCATTAGAAACCCAGTTTAAACCTTGTTTCAAGCATAACTTTTCCAAGCATTAGACACACCTGAGCACTTATCTTGTTCTGCTATCAAGAACATGATCTCACTGGGTAGATATATGTCTAAAACTGAGGGAATCAGCACAATTGACTTATTCTAAATTACTGTGATCAATTTAATCATAGAATAAACCCTTAAAAAAGAAAGCCATCATAGCAATTACATAACAGATTGCAACCAATGCACCACCAGCATCTTTAAAGAGAGAGGAGGAGGCCAAACTACCAGAAAATGTGCGGGTGAGCCTGAAGATACTCTAAAATGCACCTCTCATTTTCAGCCCTCCATCTAAGAATTCCCTGCAGGTAATATTGACATTATTATACCCTTAAGTATCTCCATATTCCTGTTTTGCCCTCATTATCTACTCTCTGCTCCCTCCCTGAGCCCCCAGGGTCCACAGAGAGGAGGGCCTGGGGCCTAGAGACCCAATATACTCACAAAACAGAATGCCTTGAGTTTACTCACAATTGAAACATTTTAAAAGACTCTGTGCTTTTATCAAAACCCTCTCAAAATACACACGTGTTTTCAAATAGCAGAGAAACAATCCTTCCACAATAAAGAGAGAAAAACTCACAATGGTGTGTGTTATCGGTAACCTTCGCCCATCTGAAGTACCCCAGGTCCCACACACAAGGGAACTCCATTCTGCTCTGACCTCCATATGAAAAAGAACCCCCTCTCAGGGTTGGGGGACATTAAACCAACATATCAATTTGAATACAAAATTTTCCCCAAGCCCATTTTTAAATAGACCATGCTCTCTGCAGGCCAACATGCAAATTGGGGGGAGGGTAGTCAAGTGTACGACCACGGGCAAAAGAAAAAGTCATTGATCTTACCTATTTTCCCAGCCTCCACCTTCAGGTTGAAATCCCAGTTTCTTGGCAACTTCAGGGACATTTTGCTTCTGGTTCGGGTGAGTAGCTGCTGAAATGGCGAGTCTGTCACAATCAGCACCCTTCTGGCCCTTTCAACCTTTCCCTCTAGCTTGTGTATGTGTTTCCCCCTTTACTATTGCTTCACGGCCAATCTTGGGTTCGAGGTTGATTTGCCAACGTGTCTCCTTTCTCTCAGATGAAAGGTCCATCCATATTTCACCTAGGGATAGCGCATTTAACCCTCTCCCAATACTCTACCCTTGCCCCACAGAGGCTGGTGCCTCGTGAAGTGTGCACCACGCTTTTCTTGCTTTCTGTTTTTACCAGAAATACCAGATGCCCTGTCATGAGAAGCAAAGCTCCTGTTTGTAAGAATCTCAGGCCTCACTGAGGTGAGATCGTGATAAACAACTGCTGCCTTTTTTTTTTTTCTTTTGGTTTTTTTTTTTTTAAACTGTCTGTTTCCTTGCATTTGAGGAAGTTGGTGCCTGTTCAGTGTATATGATACATTATGAGCACTCTTTCTTGCGAAAAATTTTTTGGAAGTGCTTATATAAGTAGGGGTTCTTGTGTAATAGAACACTCTAGTTCTGATTAAAAGAAAAAGAAAACTTCAAGACTGCTCCCAAAATCTTTAAGCCCTCCTCACCAAATAAATCAAGCATCTGAAAATGGTAAGACAATCAACATTCTCCCAAAGCTGTGGGCTTTTAAATTCTCCTTGCTGTAAGGACCACACAGCAAACTCTCCATTTGTCTAGATAAAGATTCCAAAGTGACCCCAGCTGATGTAGAAAAGGTTTTGACGTATTCAACTAAAGTTAGTTTTAGCCGGGTAGGCCCATTCACATGTTATCATGGGTTTTGGCATTATATTCCAGGTGTGGGGTTTTTAAAATCATGCAACATAATTCAAGGCTTGGTCTTCTCACTACCTAGTTCTGCAGATTTTAACCAGTAGCTGAATATCTACGGAAGTCTAAGACCTCTTCAAATGGAGTTGATAATAACAATGACTGCATGGGTTTTGTGGTGGCATCACACATGAATTCAATCCTTATCCTCTTTAACCTAACTGCAAGCCAGGCTAGCAGATGTTTAACTGGGTCAGTATTTGGTCCCTGAAGCCCAACTGCCTCTGTTTATACTCTGGCTCTACCACTTTCTTGCCGTATGAGTTTGGACAAGTTTCCTAACCACTTTGTGCTTCAAAGTCCTCTTCTCTAAGTGGGGCAACTTCATAGGATTACTTCACAGGGCTGCTGTCAGGTGTCCCTTGCTAGTCGTACAAAGTGCTCACCACAGTCACTGGCACCCAGCATGCAAGCTTTCCAGCCTTGGTCCATTCATTCTTGCACTGTTCTGGCTCACTGTGCCATACTTCCCTCTTCTCCTCCCCCATGTGCAATCTGTTAGTGACCTGGCTTCCTGTTTCATTGTGAAAATTGGTGCAACTGCAACAGAATGTTTTCAAGCCCTCTCTCCCTATACTCCTGCTATTATTGCCCTGCACGTAAAGCCTGCACACTCAATCTTCTCACAATTATAATGGACAAACCAACGGTCACCATTTCTCCATTTTTACTGCATCATCAGCTTCTTTTCTCTCTTGAATCAATCCCACCAGCACTTAAATTATTATTTTTTGCTTAAAAATTCTTTGCTTAAAAATTCTCTCTTAATGACACTTCCCTCCTCAGCTACAGTCCCATTTCTCTCCTTCATTTCTGAGGGAAGTTTTGGTGAAAATTGTCTATATTTACAAATGTCTCTCCTATTATTCTTCCTTGGATCTCCTCTATTGGTGTTTTTATCCCTGTGATTACACAGGACATATTCTTGTCCGGGACACTTTGACATCCTAGGTCTAAACACATAGGTCTTTTCTGCATGGCAGCTTACTGTCAGCAGCTTTAGATACAGTAACTATCTCCAGCCCCAAGCCCTTACTCTGCTCGGTAACCAGGAGCCCTCACTGGCCTGTTTGTCTGCCTGCCTTTCTACCTGTTCCATCTGCTTCTTTGTTGATTCCTTCTAACCTCTAAATATTGCAGGAGGCTAAGTCCCACTCAGTGGACTTCTTTTCTATCCATATTCTCTGGTCTCCAGGTTTGTATCTGCCAATGATTCTAATTTGTATTTCCAGCTCAAATCACCCTCAGATTCATAAATTGTGCACATTTCTGTTTAGAGATCTAAAACCAATCTCAAATTAAACACGTCCAAAACTTATATTTAGGGGACTTTGCTAAAAAAGCTGTAATGATATCAGGTATGTTGTTCTTATTGTAAATGAAGGGAGCATAAGAGGGAACTACACAAAATATTTAAAACTTTTGCTCAATCCCCAGATTCATCGTGGCATTATTTACAGCAGTCAAAGGCTGGAAGCAAGTTCAGTGCCCATCAATAGATGATTGAATAAACAAGTTATAGAGTATAGGGTGGAGGATTATTGCACTCTGGTAGTAGGAATGGAGTGGTGGGCATACATTTGAAGAGATATGAACTATATCTCAGAACCATATGCAGTGTTATAAACCAGCAGTACTTCAGTTTAAAAAAAATACAATAAAAAAGAATTTATAGTGTACATATAATGGAATACTACTCAGCTATTAAAAAGATAAAATTCTGCTACTTCCAAAAACATGATGGACCTAGATGGTTTTATGCTTAGTGAAATAAGTCTTACAGTTTATGTGGTATATAGAGAAAGAAAATGGGTAAACTAGGTAAAAAAAAAAAAACAATAATCCTCCACCCTATACTCCATAACTTGTTTATTCAATCATCTATTGATGGGCACTGAACTTGCTTCCAGCCTTTGACTGCTGTAAATAATGCCACGATGAATCTGGGGATTGAGCAAAAGTTTTAAATATTTTAATAATCTAAAAAACTTTTAGATTATGATTAGTGGCTACCAGAAGGGAAAGGGTAAATTGAACTCAAGGGTTTAGTTGTGTGGTAAAGGATAGAATTGCACCTTTGATGGTGAACTTCATAGAGCATTTACAGAGGCTAAGTTTAAATGATGCACATCTGACACATAGAATGTTATAATGCAGTGTTACTTCAATTTCAAAAATAAAAATAATCAAAAATGAAAATAAAATCTCTGCTGCAATCACATCTGTTCACATTCTAGTGGCCAACATGCATCACAAGGCCAACCCCGAAGTCAGTGAGGCAGCAATTATACACAGCCTCAAGGCAGGAGGGAGGGAATATTTGCTAATTCAGACCAGTCCATCACACCAACCCAGTTTACCCAGCTACCTCTAGCATCTGGTTCTCCCCAGGGTGGCAATGGTTTCCTCTAACCCTGAATCAATCAGTGGGAGATTTTGGAGCATACTCTGTTTTATTGCCTGCCCAACCCAAACACCCGTGTTCTTCTATCTAGCGGGAGGAGAGGGGCAGTAAACCTGAGCCTTGACCCAGCAGCATCCACAAAGGATACTCGATGCAATTCAAAGTTTCAGTCCTGGGACTTTTTTTTTTTATGTCAGAAATGGACTTTATTATATGTTTAGGTAGTTCCATCTAGCTCCATTTCTAGAAGGTTTTTATCATAAATTGTTAGTCCTGGGACTTTTAACTCAGGAACTCTGAAAATATTTTGAAGGTAATACTTAGAAACACAGAGAATTTCCTTTACTCTTTGGGGTAGACTCCTGTGAGTCTTGGAAAAACTCATGACCAATGGGGAAGTTGATTGTGAATACTGAAAAGGCAATCAGATGAAAAGCACCACAGGGAAGGCCCATCTGGCAGCCTCCTGAAGAGCCCTCCCAGGTCAGCCTGCTGCTGGATGTAGTGAGGGGCAACAAAGCAGCCCTGTTCCCCTTTTCCTGCTCCTCTGACAACGAAGAACTACTTACCTTGTCTGGTGCCAAAGACTGAATCAGCACTTGCCAAAACCAAAGCAAATATGTACCAATTTACTGATTGGTAAATATTCACTATCCATTTATTGAGAAGACCTGATTTTACAGTATTTTTTTTTTTGAGAAGTGAATTTATTTCATGCCCAGAACTGTTGTAACAAGATTTATCATACATTACCAATTTGACATCACTGAGACAGTCCACTTGGTAGGTCACATATCAGCATAAGAAATAAATGGAGTTTTTCACTGGGACAGGAAGAGCTCACGAGACTATGGTGATGGCACAGGGGTAAATTGGTGGTGGGAAGTGCATGTAGATTATAACTGAGATAAAAAAGGTACATCATTCCTCATTTATTATATATATATATACATATATAATATATATATATATATATATATAATAAAATATAAAAACAAACAAAAAAGAAATGGAGTTTTTCAAAATATATCTCAGTGCACAGACTTTGCATACTCATATTCATATTTATTTACATACCTATTTACATTGTTGTTCATTTTAAAACAATGTTTACTTCCCCCTCCTCCTTCAAATTCGCTTAGCATTGATTTGTACCGGATATTGGGGAAATGTTCATGAACTAGCAGATTTTGTTTCTGTCCCGATTCAACATACATGCTATTGAGAAAAAAGAACAGGCCTTCCCTGATGGCACAGTGGGTTAAAGCTCACCACTAAGAAGCTAAAGCCACTTCAGCATGAGTTTGCTTCCCGCCTTCCCTTTTGGTGCCCACATGGCGTGGTAGACCTCTTTTTAACTCCCCCCTGCTCCCCTCAGCAGTATACTTTGGCAATTTGCCTGTCCTGCTTCCCACTCTGTCTTTGGTGAATCCTCTCGCCCACCACACCTCTGGCCTATACTCCAGTTCTGTATGCATAAATAAATATTTATGAAAAAAGTACAATTAAGTAAACAACAAAATCTGATGTGAGAAAGGGTGTATTAGGGGAAGTGTAGGGAATTATGAGAGTTTACATAGGGGCCTAACTGAGATCTGGGGAGTAAAGGAAGGCTTCCTGAAAGAAGTATCTTTTTAATTTAGACTTGATGACTAAGTTAGGGAGCAAACAGGTTGAAAGCAAAAAATGGTTTCCAAACAAAGTAAGAGATACAGAGGCAAAAACAAAACCAACAACAACAACAAATAACTCATCAGGTTGCTCCTGGAAAGGATAAAAAGGAAAGGGATAGAGGAA